GAGGATTTTCATTCATGAATTAACCTCATGGTGTAATAGCAATCAATCGATCAATCCTCATCGCGCCCAGAGGCACGTAGGGCTGATGCAAACTGTCGCCACTCAATTCGATCCTAAGCTATCATCTCTATCTCCAATTTTGTCCTTCACGTAGCCTTGAGTTCAGTCTCAAAAGTTCTCCTCCAAGTGCCCCATGGCCTGGCTATCCTTATGATGTACATTGCATTGCCTGTCTGTGTCGTCTGTTTTTCTTCATTCTGAGGACGTGTCCAATCCACCTCCATATTGTTGTTGTTGTTTTTTTTTTTTAATTTCTTAGTTTACATCTACTAAGTCTGTCATTTGTTGTAATCTAGAATTGCTGATTTGATCTTTCCATGTGAACCCCAACAATCTTCTGAGAAGTCTTCCCTCAAAACCTCTGAGCATGCTTTCTATCTTTCTGTCTGTTTTCCAAGTTTCTGTTCCATAGAGGAGAACTGTCCTAACGCATGTTTTTGTATATCCCAAGTAAAAATCTTCGTTCACTTTTTGAGCTGGGCTGAATCAAAAAATGGGCTTACAGTCTTTTTCTTGCTTCTTCTTAAATTAAGTTTCAATCTCCAAATCACTATGTTGTGGTCATTCACTTCTTGTTGCATAGTATGTGGTCAGTTTGGTTCTTCCTGAAGCCATTGGGTGATGTCTACGTATACTTGTGGATATCTATATTCAGTAATTCAATGAGTATGATCCGGAGGGTTCAGGCAGGTTCGGTGCGAAAACAATGGCTTGAATCATTACAGACGTCCACTGTGCGTGGATTCACCTTTATTTTTGTTTCGGGAAACGCAGGCGTCGATGGAAATGAAAGAGCTGATAGGCTGGCTGGATCCGCTATCACTACCAACGGTCAGCCTATGGATCATGCTGATATTATTAATGCCCTCAGAGAAATGGGAAGGATAGAGGACTTTGGGGGCAGTGAATCCACATCACTCGCCAGAATGGCAGACTTGGGAATTAAGATCAGCATAGCAAAAAAACGAGACGCATACCAGACAACTTGTTAATCAACATAGAACTTGTACTATTAGCCATCGGACGTTGGGGTTCATACTGAGGGGAGGATCTAAGCACCTATGGACATGTCCGGAGTGCAATGGTGATACCCCAACTAACTAACTAACTAACTAACTAACTTGTGGATATCTTTATTCATGAAGATTGTTCCATCAACAGTATATAAAGCGGTGGCTGTAAATCCTACTGCCCTGTTCACTCCGCTCCGCATAATATCACATAAAGAATGGAGCTATCTTGTTTTTCCTACGCATATTTTTAGAAGTATAACAGAAATCTTTGGTAGCATTACGAGGCTTGATCCAGTATGAAATTATACTGGCAAGAGGTAATTATATTTTTACATTTTTCGGTTTGGCACCCCAAAAAAAATGTCAGCGTCTGTTTCTTAGGTGTTGCGAACGCGGTTTGTAACTCCACAGTACCCGGTTCGATCCCAGGTGCGGATGATTTGGCAGCACATCGTCTTGCGTTGTTTTGACAGTAGCTTCGATAGCCGACCGTTTGGAGCAATGGTAACCTAAAGAACGTGAAATTAATTATACCGATTACAAACAGCCATTAAATGCTGATGTTGGTTCTGCAACGACCTGTAAAGGATACGCAACTAGCCGGTAACCAAATAATATAGTAATCACAAAGACAAAATAAAAAAAAAGTCGAACCTGTTGAAGCACGCATGCGGCATGCTAGCAGTCAGGTACACCACATCGTACGGATTGAAACTCAGATCTGGGGATGCTAAAAGTGGGCTGAAAACCAATACTCAACCAGACCATGGTCACCGCACAACCCAGATCTCCCACAGCCAGACCTGGAAAATATTAAAAAGAGTGAGACAATAAGAGTATGAAACAGTGGATAGTTATTTGATGACAAATAATTCTTTTTTTTTCCTGTAGAAAAATTGTTTCCTTATTTCTCAGAGTTTTACGTAAGATATAGACGCTATGCTGACCACATCACCCGTCACGTGCTGATGGGTCTAAAAAATATTGGTCTAGCCCTACATGCCCAGCACTCCTGAAAACGTGAAAAGGGTCCTGTATTTATTAAGGATATATTTAAAATTGCTAAATGATAAAATGTGCTTATGAGAACACACTTTCTACTAGTCTTTTTATTACACTGGAGTACCTGGCTCTCCTTAAGAACTTCCAATCTCTGGAGGGCAAATAGAGATTTCTGGAGTATGCACGTACCTAAGTCAGTGCGGACACACAACCATCTAACTCACAGTGAGATTCCTAATTGGCACCTTTCCGTCTTTCCAGACGATAGTGTTATATTGCGCTATGAGGAGGCATCAGACTCACAGCCCATGGCGATGGCGAGTGTGACTAGCAAGACCCGCCCGTGTTAAGAAAAGTCTTCCACAATGATAGCATGGGATTTCAGAACCATTGTTAACAACATTTGTGTTTAATGTTTCTTTTCAGACGCTCAGCTCTCATCCGTTCTGCAATCATTTCTTCCTTCAGTCTCATTCCCTTCCTGATATGCCCTTTCCACACAACACGGTCCATGGCATTTTCTTCCCATGAGTCCGCCTCAATACATGTATCACTCATGTCCCTCTTGCGCACATCTTTATATCGTTGTAAAGGTCGGCCTCGACATCTTCTTCCTGTCTTTAATTCACTATAAAGGATGTCCTTAGGGACTGAGCGTAGACTGAGAGTGGAAAAGACTGTTGTAATACGTAGACTGTTGTGATACGTAGAAGGAGTATGGAAAAGACAGAAGTTCCTATTGTCCATAGCACAAAGCCTGGGCAGTACTGTAGAGACCATATGTTGCCCATGCATAATGATCCCTCCCTCGACCTGCCTTGTTTACTCCAAAGGAGAGGTAAACCAATACGTTTGGAACGAGACGGTTGCAGATGCTGCCGGTTCAGAAGAGAAGTGCTCTATGTGTTCGCCTGTCGGAGCTTCCCTCCTAGACCAGCTGCCAGCCAAGGTGAAGGGCCTGGTCTGCCCTGCCATAACACAAAGTTTTCAGGTTGCATTTCCTCTTCCTAGGATAAGGCTAGTATCCTCCCCAATGCGCTCCGCTGCCCGAAGCCGTTGGCACAATATGGGATGTTGGGTTAGTATACGCCGACCAACATTCGGCGTAACAGAAGAGACGACAGGTAAATTATTAGGAAAAAGAAAAAAAGCACATAATCCTAAAAAGATGAAAGTATTGGATCCTTTAAGCCAAGGACATTCAAAAGCTGCTTTCATCTGAGGACATAAACCTGGTAAAGAGCAACCACCCCCTCCCCCCCCCCGTACCCCCTCACCCTCTTCAACCCTCCACAAACAAAAATGTAGGCAACAAACTCGGGATGTCATGAAGGTTGTATTTCAGGCTCACATATCTGAGTATGTTTTTAAGAGTGATGCTGTCAATTATAGAGATGTCTCAGTCGTTCAGGTCAGATATTGGAAAAAAAAAACCAGTATTACATAGTCTTCTCAATGCTCAGTGTATGAAGGCTCAGGTGTCTGGTTCACACCTGCAGAATGAAGGATGGCCATAAGTATAGATGGGCAGAAGATGTCTACTACTTCATAAAGGTTTGAGCAAGCGCAACATGAATTATACAGGTATTGAAGTGGACTCGTGGGAACAACTTCTTCTTCTTTTTCTTCTTCTTCTTCTTCTTCTTCTTCTTCTTCTTCTTCTTCTTCTTCTTCTTCTTCTTCTTCTTCTTCTTCTTCTTCTTCTTCTTTCTTCTTCTTCTTCTTCTTCTTCTTCTTCTTCTTCTTCTTCTTCTTCTTCTTCTTCTTCTTCTTCTTCTTCTTCTTCTTCTTCTTCTTCTTCTTCTTCTTCTTCTTCTTCTTCTTCTTCTTCTTCTTCTTCTTCTTCTTCTTCTTCTTCTTCTTCTTCTTCTTCTTCTTCTTCTTCTTCTTCTTCTTCTTCTTCTTCTTCTTCTTCTTCTTTTTCTTCTTCTTCTTCTTCTTCTTCTTCTTCGGAGAACGATTTCTTCTTTCTTCTTCTTCTTCTTCTTCTTCTTCTTCTTCTTCTTCTTCTTCTTCTTCTTCTTCTTCTTCTTCTTCTTCTTCTCTTCTTCTTTTTTCTCTTCTTTCTCTTCTCCACCTCCTCCTCTTCCTCCTTCCTCTTCTTTTTCTTCTTTTTCATCTTCTTATTATTAATAATATATTATTATTATTAATATTCTTTTTGAATACTCCTCTTCCTCCTTCTCCTCGTCCTCCTCCTCCTTCTTTTTCTTCTTCTTCTTCTTCTTCTTCTTCTCTTCTTCTTCTTCTTCTTCTTCTTCTTCTTCTTCTTCTTCTTCTTCTTCTTCTTCTTCTTCTTCTTCTTTTCGTCCTCCTCCTTATCGTTTTCTCCATTTTTGCAAGTCTGTCCGCTAACTCATTTCCTGGTGTGGCCCAGTGAACCGGGATCCACTGGAGAACGATTTAATTTTTTTCTGAGTCTTTTTAACTGGCAGGTCGGTTTTCTCTCTGTGTTCGAAGACATTTGCTTGAGCCTCTCCGACAGTCACATTACAAGGAGCAACCTATTTCTGTGGATTTCCTTGAAATCCTTGAGCCAGTTCATGTTTAGCTTTGTGACAAGAGAGTCCACAGCGGCACTTTAACATTTAAAGAGCAACAAAACACTTGTTAAAAACATGAATAACAATGTCTGGGGAAAAAACACCTACCTAACAAACTGATGTTGATGCTGTCTTTAAATCCCTGTCTAATAAAGACGACAATATTGGTAACGTTTGCGCCAATTCCAAACAAACTCACAGTTCCGCAGATAAAGACAAGCACAACTTTTCTAAACATCTCTCTGACCTCATTGCTGACTGGGTCGGGACTGGGTGACCATTTCTGTTCTATTAAGGTTATTGTCAGATTAAAAAATACATTGTTTTTTGTTATGCTGTCGACTGATTCAGTGTCAGGACTTGATTGCAGTAACACATCCATTTTCACCCTAATATACAAATGGCTTATATATATTCCTCATCTCTTTTTTTTTTTTAAAGAAAAATACGTTTTACGTTATCCTTGCAAATATGACACACCAGGGGAGTACTTTTATAGACTTTCAAATATAACTCTACATACACACGGAGAAGGATGTGTACTTACACAATTATAAGGCAAACATGTAAAGTACTAGGCATAAGTATAAAGTATTTTTGGATGGAAGAAATGTAAAATAAATAAAATTTTAGTAACAAATGCCGTGAAGAGAAAGGGTAGATTTTTTTTTTAAATGTACGCAGCAAAGTTCAACGATAAATACATTCAGAAACTCTTGTGCTTTCACCGCTGACATTGGGGGGAGACTGTGCTCTTGCCTTGAATACAACTAGTCTGAATATAGAGGGAGACTGTGCTCTTGCCTTGAATACAACTAGTCTGAATATGGAGGGAGACTATGCTCTTGCCTTCAATACAACTAGTCTGAATATAGAGGGAGACTGTGCTCTTGCCTTGAATACAACTAGTCTGAATATGGAGGGAGACTATGCTCTTGCCTTCAATACAACTAGTCTGAATATGGAGGGAGACTATGCTCTTGCCTTCAATACAACTAGTCTGAATATAGAGGGAGACTATGCTCTTGCCTTCAATACAACTAGTCTGAATATAGAGGGAGACTGTGCTCTTGCCTTGAATACAACTAGACAACTAGTCTGAATATGGAGGGAGACTGTGCTCTTGCCTTAAATACAACTAGTCTGAATATAGAGGGAGACTATGCTCTTGCCTTCAATACAACTAGTCTGAATATAGAGGGAGACTATGCTCTTGCCTTCAATACAACTAGTCTGAATATAGAGGGAGACTGTGCTCTTGCCTTGAATACAACTAGACAACTAGTCTGAATATGGAGGGAGACTGTGCTCTTGCCTTCAATAAAACTAGTCTGAACATGGAGGGAGACTGTGCTCCTGCCTTGACTACAAGTCTGAATATGGAGGGAGACTGTGCTCTTGCCTTAAATACAACTTGTCTGAATATGGAGGGAGACTGCTTTTGCTTTGAATACAACTAGTGTGAATATGGAGGGAGACTGTGCTCTTGCCTTGAATACCACTAGTCTGAATATGGAGGAAGACTCGGGTCTTGCTTTGAATACAACTAGTCTGAATATGGAGGGAGGCTGTGCTCTTGCCTTGAGTACAACTAGTCCGAAAATATAGATCGACTCGGGTCTTGCCTTGAATACTAGTCTGAATATGGAGGAAGATAGTGCTCTTGCTTTGATTACAACTAGTCTGAAAATGGAGGGAGACTTGGGTCTTGCCTTGAGTACAACTAGTCTGAAAATGGAGGGAGACTTGGGTCTTGCCTTGAATACAACTAGTCTGAAAATTGAAGGAGAAAGTGCTCTTGCCTTGAGTACAACTAGTCTGAATATGGAGGTCATGGCTGTAATTAATGCACTAACCTATGTAGGGACATATACAATGTCCGACAATTATGTAATGATTTTATTATGGCCGAGACAAAAATGTCATCTATGAAGCAAAGTATGAAATCTAAAGAAGCAACATTTATCTCTGATCTGGCAATTTTCATCGCCACTCGATAAGCAGACAACAAACAAGCCGCCATTTTGTTGATCTAGTCAAAAGCGCATTGTTACGTAAGCAGCACTGAGCAAAAAGCTAACATTAAATCATTGTTAATACTCAGAAAAAGCGCCATTGGAGCAGTTGAAGTTTTGCAACAAGTTTATGGGGATAATTATTTATCTCGTGCACAAATTTTCAGCTTTTATTCACGATTCAAAAGTGGTGAGAAAATGATCACTAATGCATCTAGACACGGACGCATAATTTCTGTTCGTATTGATAAACTCAGAAAAAAAAAACCCCAGAGAACGGATACAAGATGCTCATTTTTTTTACTGTGAGGACGATAGCAGATTGTGCCACCTAGTGTCTCTATCCATAAAGCGCCTACTTTGAATCAGATACAGGTTTAATCTTCAACCGTTGATTATTTTAATTTTTATGAAATTAGTCTCATTACTTAATTGTCGGACCTTGTATCTTCATTTGGGTTGGAGTGAAGTGGTGGGGGAATTTATTCATGTTTTCTAATAAATTATTTCTGTTTTGCTGTTTGTTTTACTTTTATATAGATTATGGTTGAAACGTTCGCTTTTATATGTAAATGTATTTCATTTTGTTCCCTAGTTCCCTAGACCTATGTTGTGTTAATTCAGTTGCCAGTGCTAAAGTAACGTCTTTGAAGATAATGCTTTAGAATAATGAAGTCGACGTGATCTCTAGGGTCTTTCTTATTTTATAACGTTTATGTGTCTTCGAACTAAAAAGGGCTATGGTACGCTATGTTGTGGCTTACAGCTAGGTTGTGATAACTGTGCCTTTCAATTAACCAGTCAGTCCTCATTGCGCTCAAAGGCACATAAGGCAGAGACAAACTTTCGCCACCCAATTCAAGCTTGAGTTATCCTCTCGAACTCCAGTTTTGTCCTGGGGACAAAAATCCTCAAATTCTTGAACACGAATCAAGTCCAAAAGTGGACGAACAACCACAACTTTCCACCAGAGTTTACAGCTGATCAACACGAAGACAGCGAAAGACGAAATAGCATGTCTTATTGTGAACAGCAGTGTGTTGTTTTATAACCCACGAGCTTGCAGAAACAGAACAATAGAACCATACAGAAATAGTTACAAACAGTATTACTATTCGTTTTACAGTTAAAAACAAATCTATAATTAATGTTTCTGTAATCTACAATTAGAGTTCCTTGGCTGCCATGTTGCTGTCCAAAAAATAATTGAAATAGTTAAATATAATTAACTTAGTCATTCTGAGTGCATGACAACATCTGTAGGAAATTCTTGTCATAAACAAAGCAGAATCTAATCGGTGGACATTAAAAACAACGTGTCAGTATTTGAAAATACTTATTATATTTTAGTGACAACATAGAGTTTTGTAAAATAATTGGTAGAAAAAGTACGATCTTTGTTTCATTCCACTTTAGTGCAAACTATAGAACTGACAGAATGTGTAGACGTTAAATTAATCGTAGTTATCGCTAATGATAGCAAATAAATCTCCCTGGCATGGTAACAGTGTATCGATATATGCAACTAGAAAATTGAGGTGGAATATACAGCGTTAGCGTAGTGGATAAGAAGCTCGCTTTCAAATCCAGCTGCGACTCGCTGCAGCCACGGTCGGTGTTCGAAACCGGGCGGCTCCCGGGGTTCATCCAGCCTCTAGGAAATGGGTACCAGAGTGATACTCTGGGGTAAATGGAGGAAACGTTGCTGTAGCTACAGAGTTAAGTGCGAACGGCGACACAGGCGGACAATTTCTTATCAGCTGTCCGTACTGGTGACAGAGCACTTATGGTTTATAACCGTGTGCAGTGCCGCTGGTTCACATCTCCCGACTTTACCTTTTTTTTTTTTTCAATGTACAAAAGAAGAAGTAGCATTACATGAGGACAAACATACAGATTTTCTGAAGAGAGTGTGCTGGGAGAAAAAAAGCGCAAGTGAAATATTTTAGTGGTACAAAAAGGATTAGGATTCTTATTAACAATAAATACACTGGAGGAAAAAAAAAAAGAGTTGCATGCAAGCAAACAAGAGGCATACAGGTAGATTGATAACCTCAAGAAGAAATCTGAAATATGGTGTGACAACTAGAAAGATTTGTGAAAAAGAGACGGGTGAAGTCAATGTGAGGAGGTATTTGACAGTGTTATGTCCTGGCACCCACCAAGTGCCTATAAAATATAGGTTTAGCCCTATTTGCCCAGTTCGCCTCAAGGCGAGGCAAAGAGTCATTTCCTTACTTGACTTACTAGGTGCCACTAGTGCAGCTTTTCAGCGAACTAGGCACTGGCTTGCGTACAGGCTTCACAGATTTGTTTTGTAATTGGTACAAGGAATATATTGTTTCCTATAAATTGACCCTTGCTGTGGTCAGTAGGAGGACGACCTCCTTCACCTCCCAGAAAATTGTCTGATATACGGTTCTAGGCTATGTCATCGTGAGATTTCTTCCTAACCAGGAAGATGCATTAGTTGGCTTCAAAAAGGTGCACATATTGTCTGCTTTACCAGGTTTTATAACTATAATTTCATTATTTCATCTAAAGCCAATCAGCTGCTCAATGCTGTCTTTGGACAGCACATAAAACAAATTAACTCTAGCTAGACAGTTCTTTCTCTTGAGCCAACAGACCGAAATATAAACATAAAAAGACACACACACGAAACAGAGAAAAGATTTTCAGATAGAAATTAACATTATGGTTTAAGACTTCAAGAAGAATAAAGTAAAAAAATATATATATATTGGACAATTTTCAGCTATGTGAAGGTCTATGCTCAAATTAACAATAAAAGACAAGAAGAAGAAGAAGAAGAAGAAGAAGAAGAAGAAGAAGAAGAAGAAGAAGAAGAAGAAGAAGAAGAAGAAGAAGAAGAAGAAGAAGAAGAAGAAGAAGAAGAAGAAGAAGAAGAAGAAGAAGAAGAAGAAGAAGAAGAAGAAGAAGAAGAAGAAGAAGAAGAAGAAGAAGAAGAAGAAGAAGAAGAAGAAGAAGAAGAAGAAAGAAGAAAGAAGAAAGAAGAAAGAAGAAAGGAGAAAGAAGAAAGAAGAAAGGAGAAAGGAGACAGGAGAAAGAAGAAAGAAGAAGAAAGAAAGAAAGAGGGGAGAAAGAAAGAATAAAGAAAGAGGGGAGAAAGAAAGAATAAAGAAAGAGGGGAGAAAGAAAGAAGAAATGAAAGAAAGAAGAAATAAAGAAAGAAGAAGGAAAGAAAGAAGAAATAAAGAAAGAAGAAGGAAAGAAAGAAGAAATAAAGAAAGAAGAAGGAAAGAAAGAAGAAATAAAGAAAGAAGAAGGAAAGAAAGAAGAAGGAAAGAGAGAAGAAATAAAGAAAGAAGAAGGAAAGAAAGAAGAAATAAAGAAAGAAGAAGGA